CGTAGGGTCACTATGAGTCAGAACCGACCCCACAGCACCTAACAACAGCAGTATAACTTAATAGGGTGACTGCAGACCGAAATGGAAACTCCAGTTCTCATTAAGATTTCTGTTTCTACCTTTCTAAAGAAAGCCATTCAGCCTTTTTTTCCCTTGTTGAAGTGTTACTGTTCAAATACCAAAGAATCCAAATTTGTAACCCAAATGAAGAATTGTTTAGTGTTAAACTGGTTACATTAAGTGCTCCTTTAATCAGCAGGTGAATTAGTATAAGCCAGTCATTTTATGACTACCTTACTATATACGATTCCACGGCACATAACAACAACAACTATCTATGATCAGCAGTGGACTGCAAACCACGACAGATCCCTGGTTCAAGCCCTCCGGCCACTCTGTGGGATAAAGATGAGGCTTTCTGCTCCCCAAAAGATATACAGCCTTGGAAACCCTATACAGGGTGGCTCTGAGTTGGAACTGACATGACAGCACTTAAGACCACATGACCTCTGTATGTAACCACATCTTTTAGCGATGCTTTTTAGATGGTACTAGGATAGCTCTCCCTTTGTCTTCTCAAGAGTCTGCCTCACTTTTGCTAGACTGTCTTGCATAAGGCTTCTAATGCAAGGATTACCATGTCAGAGGTTATTCTGATGTGTCACAGAATGTTCATCACCAAATGCTGTGGAAATGACCTTACAGTTGATTATGTTTTAACAAAATTCAAGATTTCTCCTTTTTTTGATTGGGAGAGAGGTGGCAGTAGGGATGAAGCATGTGACAAAATTGTTACGTGCCATCGAGTCAGTTCTGACTCATAGAGACCCTATATAGGGTTTTTGAGGAGTGGCTGGTGGGTTTGAACCACTGACCTTGTGTTCCAGTTTTTATCCTACGGTGCCACGCCAGGACTGTCCTTGTAATCTTCCCAAGTCTCTGGCTTAGGAAGTCTGGGTGGACAAGAGAGAGAGCACAGAAGGCAACTTCACCTAAGCCAGAGGAGAAAATAATTACAAGAAAATAATTTTTATCAATTCAAGTTTACTAAGAAACTTTCAGTCATTAAATAACTACTTCAAAGAGTTGTAAGAAAACCCTTCCTCAGTTAAGAGTCCAAAAATTCAATTGTGTAAGTTTCAATATACTACTAGTAAGTAGTTAAAAAAAAAAAAAAGGTCTATAATATACAAACTATTGATATTAAAAATTATAGTGTACACAGCTGACAACAAAGAACTGAAACGGAATGAAGTCACCTGCAAGTCTTCCATCCAAATCTGTATTATCGTGGGTAGCTGTATTACAGGACTTTTGTATTAATGTTTACTTCTTGGAATTAATGCTAACGATACTTGCAGGATACCTTTTGAGTATAGCTTAATATGAATTTAGGGCAGGGAACGGACTAACAATTTTAGTGTTTGTCTTAATTGTAAGGTCTTTCCTCCATGTGATTCGATCATTTGTTGGGTACCCAGGCACTATATGTTCTACGTAGTGGAGACAGTCGATTTTGTTATTCTTAAGCGCCGCTGAGTTGGTCCCAACTCACAGCGACGACCCTGTATACGGTTTCCGAGGAGCGGCTGGTGAGTTTGAACCGCCAATCTTGCCATTCAAACCGACCTTGCAGTCCAGCTCATTAACCCACAGGGTCACACCAGGTAGTGGAGATCGAGTGGTGAAAACTGTTCTCCCTAAATGGGGGCTGCAAGCACTGACCACATGTATAGAAAAAATAAGTTCTCTCTTCCTTGTGGAATTGGATGTTTACGAAGGATTCATCTTCCAACTGAGTCATAAAAATACAATTCAGAGCTTCTCTCTTAGGAAGATGCTTTGTTGAAGCTTCTAAGTTCTCAAGGAATTACTTTCCCCCATCATCAGCATGGACTCTCCAGTGGAGATGAAGATGTGATCTCTGACGGAAGGCGGTCATCACCCCTCACACGTTTCTATAGAGTTCCTCCAGTGTGGACTCGCTGGTGGTATACAAGGTGTGATCTCTGACTGAAACCCTTACAACAGACGTCACATATGTATGGCTTCTCTCCAGTGTGGACCCTCCGATGTGTGTGGAAGTGTGAGGCCTGACTGAAGCCCTTCCCACACTGCTGACATGTATATGGTTTCTCTCCTGTGTGCACTCTCTGATGAGCACTGAGACCCGCACTCCAACTGAACTCTTTCCCACACGCCTCGCACTTAAATGGCTTCTCTCCAGTGTGGATTATCTGATGGACCTGAAGATTGGATCTCTGGCTGAAGGCCTTACCACAGGTATCACATTTATACGGTTTCTCTCCGGTATGGACTCGCTGATGGGCTTGAAGATGTGAGGCTTGGCTGAATCGTTTCTGACATGCATCACACTTGAATGGTTTCTCCCCAGTGTGGACGCTCTGATGAGCTTGGAGGTTTGAGGCCTGGCTGAAACCCTTCCCACATTCCTCACACTTATAGGGTTTCTCTCCTGTGTGGACTCTTTGATGATTGTGAAGGTTTAAGCTCCAATTGAAGCGCTTCCCACACACCTCACATTTGTATGGCTTTTCGCCAGTGTGGACTCGCTGATGGGCTTGAAAATAGGAACTCTGACTGAAGCCTTTCCCACACACATTGCATCGAAATGGCTTCTCTCCGGTGTGGACTCGCTGATGGCTCTGGAAACTTGAGGCCGAACTGAAACCCTTGCCACACTCTTCACATTTATAGGGCTTCTCTCCCGTGTGGACCCGCTGGTGACTATGAAGATTAAAGCTGAGACTAAAGCACTTACCGCATTCATCACACTTGTATGGTTTCTCTTCAGTGTGGACTCTCTGATGGGTGTGTAGATTGGAGCTACAGCTGAAGCGTTTCCCACAATCCCCACATTTATATGGTTTCTCTCCAGTGTGAATTCGTTGATGGGCTTGGAGATGGGATCTCTGAGTGAAGCCTTTCTCACACACCACACATTTGTAAGGCTTCTCTCCAGTGTGGACTCTGCAGTGAATGTTAAGGTCTGTGCTCCGGCTGAAGCCTTTCCCACAACTCTCACATGTGTAAGGTTTCTCTCCTGTATGAATGGGAAGATGGGCGTAAAGGTGGGAGCTCTGATTGAAGCTCTTCCCACACTCGTGGCACGTATAAGGCTTCTCTCCAGTGTGCACTCTCTGATGAGTTTGCAGGTTTGAGCTCTGACTGAAACCCTTACCACACTCATGACACCAATAGCGTTTTTTCCCTTTGTTCTTAACACTTTGTTGATTTGGAATTCCTGAGCCATATCTACGCTTTCCAAGTGTACTACATGAAGGGGATTTCTTTCCCAAGTGTTCCTGCTGATGAAGTTCAAGGCTGGAGCGGTCACTGAAGGCATCTTCATGTTCATTACACTGGTAAGTCTTCTGTCCTGTGAGAACTGTACTGCGCGGGGTAAGAGATGATAGCTTTAAGACGTCTTTGCCATAATTATTGTCTCCATAAGCCTTAGTTCTTTGGAACACTCTAGGGTCACGATGGTGGGAAATGCGATTGAAAATGTCAACGCATGGAGCAAACACACATAATTTGGTTTTCATCTGAGGGTGCTTACAACTTCCTTGGTAATTCCGGGTCTCACTCAGATATATTTTACTCCAAGAATTCTGAATTCTCTCAGCCGGAGAGTCTTCATCTTTGACACTTGTATCAGCCCCTGAAAGACTCACTATGTAGCAGACACCTTCAGCAGCTCCCAGCCTCCCTTGGGAGGGAGACTCAAGCTGCCTGGGGGGCTGGGCATTCGTCCCTTGAGTATCCATCATGGAGACTTGACTTCGAGTGAATTTGCTCATCTGTCCCCTGATTCGCCAGCATGAAAGCTCTCCCAATGAGAGGCACCTTAATCCTGCTTCTCGAAGAGTCTCCATCTCATTTTGATTCCTGCCTCCTAAAAAGGTAAAGAGAATAAAAAATTGAGGACATGTGCAAGCTCTGTTTAGGTATTTCAAAACTTTACAGACATGCCCCCATATGAGTCTTTAACTCCTGAAGGGAATCTCAGCGTATCTATAGACCATTATGGTGGGCGCTCTTTGGTTTCTCTCCATCTATAGGCATAAAACGGAAGTTTCTGGGTTCCGAGCTTTAAGCACATGTTCTTTCAATGGCGTACAGAATAGTCAGGAAACACTGTGGGAACGGTGACGCCTTAATGCTTTTCATCATGTTACCTGGTTATCAGCAGGAAGGAAAAATATTGAGTCATAGGCTTAGATGGTTTTACCTCGTAGGCGAGCATATTTTTCATTCCAGTCCATTTTTTCATGAACTTCTTGAAGCCCCCTCGTGTATCAACCACAACCACCACCTAGTGTACGTACTTACTGTTTGGAATAAAATATGTAGACCTGTTCTTAGCAAACAACATTAATAGCCATACAGCAGATTCATCTTAAATTATGACTTTGAACTGTTACTCATACCTATAAAAGTTTTTAAAAAAAGTTTGTTGTTGTTGTTAAGTGCCAGCACTTCTGTTCTGATTCCCCATTATAGGGTTTCCAAGGAATGGCTGGTGGGTTTGAACCGCCACCTAACAGCTGAAACAGACTTTGTGGTCCAGCACTTATCCTTCCATGCTACACCATAAAAAGTTTACGGGAAATCAAATTAATGAAGTACTGCAGTGTACCTGAACCATATAATTAATTACTCTTAATAACTGGTTTTATGGAACCATGCTTTGCTTGTATTGAAGAACATTAAAAGTGATACAACTTTGAAACTCATTACGGTGTTTACTTTAGGGATGGAGGAGAAGAATGTTGCACTTGGCTCTTTTATAAGACTTGGTTTTGTTGTTGTTATGTGCCGTGGAGTCGGTTCAGACTCATAGTGACCCTGTACCGGGTTTCCAAGGCTGTAAATCTTTACGGGAGCAGAAATCCTCATCTTTCTCTTATAGAACAGCTGGTAGTTTCAAACTGCTGACCCTGGGGTTAGCAGCCCAATTCGTAACCATTACGCTACCAGAGCTCCTCCTGTAAGGATTGCTAGGCAATAGTTTTTCAGGGTGCAGTACTAGGAGAGCTTATTTTGAACTGGGGTTCATATATATAAGCTGGGCACGTGTTTGATATTTTAATATTACGGTAAATGACACCGCTGCTCATGTGCCTCTTTTGAAATGGCTTCTGGGAAATGCATACATTTTTGGCCTGTTATCATAGGATGTAAGTTTATGTCCTATGTTTTCAGTAATAATCTTACCACTTTCACTGTACGTATTTTTATTCCTCCTACCTTTATTACCATTTCTTAAATTGCCACCTTCATTCCCTGCCCTTCTCCATTTCTTTAGTCTCTGTCCTAGTTTGCTTTTTGTATCATACCCTCTGCTGGGATGTGGATTCTGACCCACAGCCACGCTACAGGACATAGAAATGACCCACTGACTTTCCAAGGTTGTCATCTCCACAGCAGCAGACTGCCTCATCTTTCTCCAGTGGAGCAACTGGTAGGTTCAAACTGTTCATCTTTTGGTTAGCATCCAAATTCCTAACCACTGGGTCACCAGGATTCCTTCTTTGTACTGTAAAGATGGTGAGACTTTGACTCTCCTCCTTCAGACATGTTGTCAGGGGGGCCCAATCCCTGGAGAAGGACATCGTGCTTGGTAAAGTGGATGGTCAGTGAAGAAAAGGTAGCGACAATGGGCTCAAAAGCAATTAATAACTGTGAGGAGGGCGCGGGACTGGCCAGTGTTTCGTTCTGTGCTAAGTGTATCGATGATTCCAGACTTTCGCTCACGTACAAATTTTGTTTTCAGTGCTATTTTAGGGAATAAGGGGAGGTTTCAAAAAGTTCATAGAAAAATGGAAATGAAAAGATAATGGCATCATGACTAATTGCAACTGTCACAACTGTAAAGGCAGAAGTTTTGTAACAAACACTGGTGAGTAGTTAATCCTACAGACCTGAAACAGACGACCCTAGGACCATCAGGGGAGAAGAGCACAGGCGGAATGTGGGACCTTATCCAGAGAAGCAGTGACACCAGAGATGGAGGCAGAGATGGGGACATGGAGAGAGGGAGCAGCTGAGGACTCTAGACTCATGGAAAGAGAGGGACTGAGTGCTGGCAGCCAGGAGACAGGCTTGCAGAATGTGCCCTTTGGTGCTTTAAATTATTATATATACCTGAGTGTTTTAAAAAAAAAAAGAGTTAAAATGAATAGAGAGAAATACTGTTAACTGATGGTACAGGGAGGGGATTATAATCATTGTAATGAAATAAAGTATAGGATTCATTGAATGTAAAACTGATGATCTGCCCTGTAAACTTGCACTCAACTCACAATAAAAACTTAAAAAGATAGTGGGATTTTTCCATGCACTTTTTGAAGTCTCCCTTACACAGTCTATTTAAATATGATGAATTGTTGTTGTTGTTGTTGTTGTCAAGTGCTGTCGAGTCGGTTCCGAACCATAGCGACCCTATATGGGGTTTCCGAGCAGCAGCTGGTGAGCTTGAACTGCCAAGCTTGCAGTTCAAACAGATTTGCAGTCTGTCGCATTAACCCACAGCGCCACACCAGGACTCCAAAATATTTGTTGTTGTTAAGTGCCGTCAAGTCTATTCTGACCCATAGCAACCCTGTATAGGGTTTCCAAGGAGCAGATGATGACTAGGTGAGATTAATTTGGTTATGTTAACTAGGGGGAGCTCAGTGGCTCGATAAGAAAAGCACTGGACTGCAAATCACAAGGTTGGCGGTTCAATCCCACCAGCTGCTCCATGGAAGAAACATGAGACTTTCTGTTCCCACAGAGATCTACAGCCTCAGACACTCTACACCGGCCACTAAGAATTGGAATAGACTTGAGGGCACTTAACAACAACGTAAAAGCTACAGTTTAATTTAAAAACAATAGCATTATGTTTTCCAACGAAATTTAATTACATTTTCATTGTTTTGTTAAATCTAACTCAGTGTGCTTATTTGAAAACATCATATCCAACACAATAGAAAACACTTTTTACAAGTACACATGGAACCTTCACCAAGAAAGACCAGATTTTGGGCCATAAAACAAGTAAGTCTCAATAAATGTTAAAGGATTAAAGTCACACAAGGTATATTCTTTGAGCACAGTTGAATTCCATCACAAATCAAAGCTCTAGAAAATCCTCAGTCAGGTAAATAACATACTTTCTAAGTAAACCGATCCTGGAATGGCATTGTAAGATAAGCACTGGACTGCTAACCCCAAGGTCTGTGGTTCAAACCCACCAGCTGCTCCTTGGAACTGACTCGACAGCACTAAACAGTAAGTAAACTGGGGCGTCCTGGTGGTGTGCTGGAGAAGCATTGGACTGCTAACTGAAAGGTCAGCGGTTCAAACCCACCAGCTGTTCCTTGGAAATTCTATACTGGGTTGCTAAAACGTGGAACTACCAACTGCATGGCATTTAACAACAAGTAAACTGTGGATTAAAGGACAAATAAAAGCATTTTTAATAGAATGGAAATGAAAACCAACCTATCAGCACTTGAGATACCACTAATGTAGTACTAAAGGATAAATTTTATAGAGTAGGGTCTCAAAAGAAACTAGAAAAATGGGTGCAAACTGAATTCCTCAAAATGAGCAAAAGAAATGAATATCTGAGCAGAAATCAATGAAATAGCAACAAAAAAATCCGACAGAAATTAACTGAAGCTAAAGATGGTTCTTTAAAGAGAACAGTAAGACTGGAAATCCTCTGGTTAGCAGGATGAGAAAAGATAAACAGCCAAGAACACGAGTGATGACATCACTCCAGATGCTGCAGATACTAGACAGTTAATGAAATATGAACTTCCACTATTAGGCTTAACAATTCATATGAAAGAAACAAATTCCTTGAAAGAGTCAGACTATCAATGTTTATCCAAGAGGACAGATCATCTGAATAGCCCTGTATCTATCAGAGAAAGAATATCTAAAGTAAAAAATCTTCCTACAAAGAAAATTCCAAGCCTAGAAGTCTTTGATTATGAATTCTACCAAGCATATAAGAAAGAGAGAATACCAATGCTAGACCAAGGCTTTCATAAAAGTCAAGAAGACTGAACATTTCCCAACTCATTTGATGAAGACAGCAGATGTATCCTGACATCGAAAAGAAAGATATTACTTCAACTAGGAGGGCTATTAAAAAAAGAACCACGGACAATAAGGAATGTTGGCAAGGATGTGAGAAGGTGGACCCCTTATCCATTGCTGGTAGAAATGCAAACTGTGCAGCCATTGTGGGATACAGTGTGGCAGGTCCTCAAAAACCTACCATTAGAACTACGACCATAAACCCAAATCCTACCAGCAACTGGGTGGGCTCCTACTCACAGCGACCCTGTGGGACAGCGGCATTGCCCAGTAGGGTTTCTAAGGCGGTAAACCTTTTGGTTAGCAGGCAAGCACTGTGCCACCAGAGCACCTAGAATAACCATGTTGATGTTGCTGAGTGTTGTCGAGTCAGTTCCGACCCACAGTTTCTGAGGAGCGGCTGGTGAATTTGAACTGTCAACCTTGAGATTCAAACCAACTTTATGGTCGAGTGCTTATCCTTACAGCGCCACACCAGGACTCTGGAACTACCACATGACCCAGCAATTCCACTCGTAGGTATGTATCCCAGAGACCTGCGAGCAGAGACTCCGCAGATACTTGTACGCCAATGTTCAATGCAATACACTCACAATAGGCAAAAGATGGAAATGACCTCAATGCCTATCAACAGATGAATGGATAAGCTACATGTAGGACAGACATACAACCAAACCCGCATCAATCAGGCGATTCCAGCTTACAGCAATCTGAGAGGACAGAGCAGCGCAGCTCCTTTGGGTTGTCGAGACTCTACAGCTTTACAGGAGCAGACAGCCTCATCTTTCTCCCAAGGAGCAGCTGGTGGGTTAGAACCCCGCCAACCTTGTGGTTAGCAGCCCACCAACTTAACCCAATGTGCCACTGGGGCTCCTTAATACAACAAATTCAAAAAGAAAAATGAGTTCCCAAAACATAATGTGGATGAACCTGGAGTTCATCTTTGTAGAGAGATTTTTTGCTTTAGATTTTCTTTCTCTGATAGATACAGGGCTATTCAGATTATCTGTCCTACAAGCCAGTCACAAACAGGCAAATTTAAATTTACATTCCCAATTTATGAAATGACATGCAACAGGTAAATAGACAAAAACTAATGTTCATTTGTGGTTACCAGGAACAGTGGGGGTGGAGTGGGAAGAGAGGAAGTATTCCTTTTTTTAATATATAGAAATGGGTAAGGAGGTACCAAATGTGGGTGAAGTTTACACAGCAAGACTGATGGACTTCGTTTTCGGCCTATAACTGACTGGAATTCCTAAAATGGGGCTAGAACTTGCCCAGTGAAGGAGGCTTCCTGCAGAGCCTTTGCATTGCACAAGACCCTAGGTGGAATCCTGATCCCCATTCCGAATCTTCTGAGGTGGGAAATTTCCACTTGAAAGGACAAGCAGACCAGCCTGGAGCAGCTAGAAGAACAGAAGCTACTTGAAAGAAAGACCAGCAGGGAAAATCAAAAACAATTAACAGCAGTCCAATTGACTACGACAAGAACAAGCAAGTTGTTCCCCTGGGAACCATCAAGGCACAAGGTCAGGTCCCCTCAAGGCAAACCCCCTTCCAAGACAGAAACTCAAGTGGAATAAACGAGCAGGCATGTGGTCTTGCTGCTGACCACGTTGGTCACCAATAAGAAGGAAGTGGGGGAAAAAACAGCTATAAGGTTGTAAGCTAAGTCCAACCACATTCAGGAGACTCCTGTTAACCTGGATTGAGACCTGGTTAGCCAGCAGCATGACTAGGCAGCAAACAATCAGTGAGGTTGAGTGAGCCAACGCTATAGGGCCCGGCAGGATTTTACACCAGTGAAATGGGAAACCAGTGGAGGGTTTGAAGCAGAGAAGTGACACCATGTGGCGCGAGGTCTCACACGTTACCGTGTGGAAGAGACTCTCCAGAATAAACACAGAACAGCAGGCCGTTCCCTCCAAGGACTCCCAGCCACAGTTCTCACCTGAACACCGGCCTCTTCCGGTCTGAAGCCCCTTCATCCAAAGCATCTCCTCTCTCTCCAGTTGTGAGATCACATCTGGCTTGAAGGGCTGATGTCCTGGGAACAGACAAGGAGATGTGGTTAAATAAAAACATCAATGGCAATGAGGACTGAAAAATTTTTGGTTCCAATCTTATGATATAAGGCTCCTCTCCGCAAAATGATTTTCTAAACATTTTCTACTGTGACTGGTTGTAGGGAATGTATTTAACGTCATGAGCCAGTACGCACATACCCAGTACACACACAAAATATATATGTAAATGACTGAAACGAAAGACTTAAAAGACCTGAGGCAAGCTAAGTTTTTTTTTTTTTCTTTCATCACGATTGCTATACTGCATGCTGTCCTAGCTAAGGAGCTTGGATATTACTTCTCTATTCTACCTTACTATAAAAGGGTTGATGAAACTTGTTTAAAAAACGCCACAGCTCAGCAGTTTGAGGGACATATGGAATAAGGACCTAAGACCAGCCACACCCAATTGTTCATTTACAGTTCATTCAAAAAGACAAATGCTGACCTGGGAAAAAAGACCACACGTCTTATCTTTCTGCTCCAAAGGGATCAGAAAACGTGAAATGATGTGAGGGTTCCAGGGATGCTGCTGGTCTCCTACAACGCACAGGTAAGCCCCCGGAAATAGAACTTGTTGTTACATGCATCCCAGTCAGCTCTGGTGCATTGCGACCCTGTATAGGGCTCCAAAGAAGTGGCTGATGGATTTGAACAACTGACCTTATGGTTCAAACCAACCTTGCGGTCCAGTGTTTACCCTACAACACCACACCAGGACTCCAATACAGAGCTGTTGTAGTTAAGTACGGTCAAGTCGGTTCTGACCCATAGCAACCCTGTATAGGGTTTCCGAGGAGCCGCTGGTGAGCCTGAACCACCAATCTTCAAGTTCAAATGACTTTGCAGTCCAATGCATGAACCCACAGAGCCACACCAGGGCTCCATAATACAGAGTTACCTGGCCCAAAATGTCAACAGTCCCCTGGCTAAGGAACCCGATGCCAGGGACCTAAGGCGCCCGTCCTCACCCAAAGAAACCAGGTTCTGGAAGGTCTCCAGCATCACGTCTCGGTACAGTGTCCTCTGGGCGGAGTCCAGCAGTCCCAGCTCCTCCTCACTGAAGACCACAGCCACGTCCTTGAATGTCACCGCTTCCTGTAACATGAAACACACACAGCCTCCTTCTTACAACAGCTGTCCCCTCGAAGGAGGACAGTACTGAAAATGTGTGTGTAGGTGGGGGGAGAAGAGGAGGAAGTAAGCATGAGCTAACTTTTAGGAGAATTCTTCCCCCTCCTCTTCAACCAGTAAAAGCAGCTACCAAGGGACTGATTCCAATTTAGGGCTCCTCATGTAGAAACTCTCAAAGTAGGACTGCGCTCCACAGGGTTTTGAGTGGCCGAGTTTTCTGAAGTCGCTCGTCAGGCCTTTCTTCTCATACTTCGGACTTAGTATCAGGAGGGACCAGTCACTGGAGAAGGACATCATACTTGGTAAAGCCGAGGGTCCACGAAAAAGAGGAAGACCCTCCCGGCCCCCAACGAGCTAGATTAGCTCAGCAGCAACGGCAGTGATTGTGAGGCCGGCCTAGGACTGGGCAGTGTTCCGTTCTGTTGTGCATACGGTTACTAAGAGCTGTTGTTAAGTGCCGTCGATTCCAACCCATAGCGACCCTGTATAGGGTTTCCAAGGAGCAGCTGGTGAGCCTGAACCACCAACCTTGTATTTCAAACGACTTTGCAGTCTGACGCATTAGCTCACAGCGCCTCACCAGTAGTAAGAGTAGGCTGAAACAATAGAGCTCCTTGAGAAAACTCAGAATCTCTAAAACCAGCAAAACTTCCCTGGCCTTGAAGCAGATAGGGCAGAAACAAGCCTCACAGAGGGTGTTTACTGTGTGATTACGAACCCCAGACATTCTTTAGCGTAGTCAAAGTAACCACGTGCCTCCAAGGACTCTTGCACCATGATAACTGAATTATGGTCTTGTTATTCGAACTCAGGCGGTCTCACTGACCCTGTGGCTGTTATCTAGTTTTCCTGTGAGCAAACTAATCTGCTGTTTTTGCTTCTGTACAAGGTCAGCAGTTCGAAACTATCAGCGGTTCCAC